CCATCAAAATATATATATATTTATTAGATCTGGATGCCGAAGGGCATCTAACTCGCAAGCTGATTGCACCATGCTTCGTACCGGTACCACAAGGTACGGGAGCATACATAGTATAGCTAGTCCCGCGTCCGACAAACGTTTGCAGGATGGGAACCTTCACCTGTGCCTTCCACTGCACTTTCCCGACACACACCAGCAGCAGCATGATTGCCAATCTCTTTTCTACTAATCTGGAGGAGAGCCTTTGGAAATGAGGAGGAACCATCTGGCCCAGGGTCCCGCTGCAGGTCCTACCCGACGACCAAACCAGCACTGACTCTTGGATCCGCCGCTGGCTCCTGTGGAGTTTCTTGGGGTTGTTGACACTCCTCCTGCTGGGGTTTCTACAGCTCTTGCTGGCTAATTTTGACCTGGCAACAATGACGAAAGGTAAATCTTTGGCCACGAAAGCCAGATATTGGTAGCATGCCAGCACCGTCACCAGCGACCACACAAAACAACCAAGCCAAAAGAAGACACACACAAAAAATACTGCATTGATTGAACAATACTAATAATGAGTGGTCCCAAAGCGTACATTGCTGCACGGGACGATGTCAAGAGCACTAGTGGCCATGTGATTGTAGACGGCAAACCCTACTTCCCCTTACTGAAAGCCGATGGTGCCTACCATGCATCGATCCGTGAGGTTGTGGCGCAAATTTTGAGCATACCGGTCCGCAATGACTGGCCCATTTCGGTCGTATCGGGTGGAATCACCAACCAATTGTTTCGCGTCACGCTGACTTGCAACAATGGCAACAAGAGCGTTCCCTCTTCCATTCTCCTTCGTATTTTTGGCGCCGAAGGAATGATTGACCGCGATGTGGAAAATTCCACCTTTGCGGCGCTGTCGACCCAATGTCTGGCGCCTCCGTACTTTGGTCGCTTTCAGAACGGTCGCTTGGAAGGATGGTTGGACGGGATGGCATGCCTGACGCCACGCGACATGGCGTTACCAACCATTTCCCCCAAGATTGCCGAGCAAATGGCATTGTTGCATGCCAAATTCGAAATTCCCGACGAATTGGTCGACTACCACAATCCACAACAACCGTCGTTATGGACGCAACTGCAAGATTGGATGGAACAAGCCATGCGGGCCACGGATTTTGGCAACGACACGGAGCGTGCACAAACCATGGTCTCGTCGTTGCTGCAGAATTTGGATACCGAATTCGAGTGGTTGCGAAATACCGTGGTTCCGTCGGATTTACCAGTGGCATTTTGTCACAATGATGTATTGGGCGCCAATGTGCTTTATAACGCAACAACAGGTGTCCTTCGATTGGTGGATTTCGAATATGGTGGAGTCAACTACAAGGCATTCGATATTGCCAATCACTTTAACGAGTTTGCCGGTGGCAGTACCGAAAATGGTGTCACCAACTACGACTGGTTCCCCAATAAGGAGGATCAATGCGCCTTTCTCAAGGTATATCTCGAATCATCATCCCAACAACAACAACCCTCTGACGAGGAAATCCAAAAGTGGTACGATCAAGTCCAGGCGTTCATTCTGGTCAATCACTTGTATTGGGGAACTTGGGCTGTCAATCAGGCTGCCACAGAAGGTTGTGCGGATTTTGATTACTTGCTTTTTGGTCACAACAGGCTTTCACGTTACTTTCATTGCAAGGCGGAAGCTTATCCTTCAAGTTAGTTAGTACCAGGTACCACTACTTGAAAAGAAACCATAATAGAATTTTTAAAAAGACATGTTTTTGACTGTAATAGTAGACCAGCTACAAGTGCACCGGTACTGTACTTTCTAGCGTGTAACATGAATACTAACTCGTTTGTCCTCATCAACATGGCTCTGAACGTGCCTGGACTGTTGGTTTTACGTCCATCAGCAACCGGGGTACTGCCACTCCTCGTCGCTTTTGAGGCAAATTTTCCAACGTTCCTCCTATACGCACGAGAGTATCAAAACCTGGACCTGGACCCTGCCAACCTTCTGGTGTTTCATCAACAGCGGTCTAGCTAGCGAGAGCATCACGAACATCACCAAGAGCAACATGTTGGCAAAGTCACGAAATACACTCCTGGTCATAATTGCTCAAGCCGTTCTGCCGGCTTTAATTTGAAGTCACGGGAGCACGTGGGTTCTTTCTAATAATTCCTCAACCAGGTGACTTTACCGGTCTTTGCAGTGCTCCAAAACGTCCTCGCAGTACTGTACGGTACCTGTGCTCTCAACATGCGCGATTTGAGGAGATCTCGGCCAATGCACATTGTGTTTTTGTGGAGGTGTGCATATTGTGGACCATGACCGCCAAGTCTCATCATCATCAAAAGAGGAAGAAGTCAAAGCACCATGCACCAGCATCATCCATCACCACTTTCGAAGAGGTCGATGATTCTTCGGTGAATGGCGAAAGCAAAGGCCAAAAAGTGGTATCTGTCCTGGAGTACCTCTTCCCTGTCGTGGCCGGTTTGTGTTTGTGGCGGTCAGTTTCTACTGGCAAAGAGTCCAGCCCCTGGTCCACTTTATTATTGGGGCGATCGCAAAGATTGGCTCTAGATGATGACATCATCAATTGGACGACTCTGCTGCCAGAACCGCAATCTTCAGACTTGGAAGAGGCCCTCGGGTCATATTCTGCGTCTCTGTGTCGCTTTGTCATGAGCCAATCCATGGTACCTGGTGGCAGTAGTAGTGCTGGCTGGGGTATCTTTTCCTTGGTGGATATTGAGCCCCAAGATAAGCTCTTGTACGGAGATATGAGAATCCAGCTGGTGGATGTACAGAATCACCAGTACGAGGGATTGGCGCATCTTCTCTACAACTACACTTGGAAGGCCAAGTATGGCACCGTGGAGGGCACAGAGGTTCAGACGGTGGTTCCTGGTATGAGTATGCTCAGCAACTCTGGATGGGATCACCACTTTCAGGCCATGGCTGGCAAACCAACCCCTCCGGAACCAGGAACTGATGGAACCAGAGGATCGCCAACGGCTGGCTCGTTTACGCATTACCACAATCGGCAGTATTTCGCGATTCAGACAGTTCCCAAAGGACAAGAGATATTGGTGAACTATGGACAAAACTTTGTCGGAGAAAAGCTGGCACATGCTACTACCGATGGAGCAGCTCCGTTGACCCTAGCATCCTTGCAAAAACCAGTCTCCGAGCTGCAGACAAATGGCATGTGCTTGGACAATATTGCCAGTGCGGAAGCACCGGGTCGAGGAGGAAGAGGTGCATTTGCCACTCGAGATCTTTTAAAAGGAACTGTGGTGGTGCCACTGCCATTGATACCACTGAACCGCACTTCCTTGGACATGTACACGGACAGTCGCTATCCGAATGCCAAGAAACAGTTGCTACTCAATTACTGCTACGGACATGAAAACAGCACATTGCTCCTGTTCCCGTACTCGCCGGTTGTCAATTATATCAACAGCGTTGGCAAGGACGAGCCAACAAATGCTGTCCTGCGGTGGTCCGCTCAGGCGCAAAACTTGGAGCAAAGTCTGCAAGACTCGGCGCAAGACATTTTGGCAAGTCGCCGCTGGGGTCTCCTCTTGGAGGTGGTTGCCACGCGAGACATTTCCCAGGGAGAACAGATTCTGATAGACTACGGTCAAACCTGGCATGATGCTTGGACACGCCACGTGCAGCAGTTTCAACCCGACAACGATTGTAGCAGATCACCTCCGTATGTGTATGCGTCGCGTCTCAATCAACTCAAGATGGTACGAACACAAGACGAACAGGCACAAAATCCGTATCCAGACAATGTGGAAACATTCTGCGTTTATCAATACTCGGAAACCATCCAGTATAATCCGTGGCCTCATCATCAGCATGGCTCCAAGAAAGACACCTGCCGAAAGGTAACTCACGAAGCATGCCCCCCGCACACCCGAATGGTCCCAGACTATCTACGACCATGTCGAGTTCTCGATCGCAAAGAAGGGGATGCTTTTTATACTGTGGAGGTGCTCAACGACGACAAGGGTTCCGTCGATGCCGGGAGCATACCTTGGGGTGAGCGCCATATTGTCACGGGCATGCCCCGCAACGCCATTTGTTTTCTGGACAAGGTCTATTCCACCGATCAGAACTTGGCGTCTGCCTTTCGGCACGAGATTGGACTGCCTGGCGGCGTGTTTCCGACGGCGTGGATGGATCTAGAATGAACTATCTGTCCTTTGGGATACGGTTAGGGTAGATGTGAGGCTCGACAACTAACATTAGGCAACACCTCTTGTTCTGAAAAAGATTTTCAAAGTAATAGAGTTGAGACAAACACCACTTTCTACTACTCTACATAGTTCCAACGTTTCATTTCATGGGTTTTACATCTTCAGCCACTTGTGTCATTCACAGGAAGCTACGGCAAGCCCCTCAATCGAACTTACATGTAGTCACCTCATCGCTTTTACATAGACTCCGATGATGCGTCGCCAGCGCCACGTACATGGTGATTGCGTATTGGTAACAGTCAAGAGGATTGCATGTTGTTGCTGCTATCGGAACCTTCGGCATTGCGTTTGCTGCAAAGTGATCTTCTACCTGATCGTTCTAGTGCCGGTTGGCTATGCCGTGTACTTTGCTTTGGTTAGATTGGTTTCTTCCGTGGGGTAACTCTCTGTCTCGGTGTTGGTGGTACTATTCTTGTTGTCGTTGGCCTTATTATTTCCAGAGTCGTACTCGACATTCTGCAACAATCGATCTTCCATATCTGCCGCCCACAAGGCAGCTCCCACCGTATTGGTAAACACAAAAAACACATTGGCAAATGGGATCATTTCCAGTGCCATGGCTTGCATACCAAATATATGATGGGCCATGGCGTTGTCCGATACAAACTTGCGTTGTATTTTGAAACTGCGTCCCTTGAGCTCGTAGTGATAATGAGAAAAGGTATCCCACGTGTAGAGACGACCATTGACAAACAACCACAGGACGGTTCCGACGACGGGAATCAAGTTTAGCGGCAGCGTAATGATGGAGACAAAGAGATGGACAATGCCCACGACACTGCAACATCCACAACACGCCATGCCATTATCCGCCTCGACGAGCTCCGCGTGTCCCCGTAGAGTCAAGACTTGATCGAACAGTTTGTCCGTAATGGGTAACAGCACAATGGCACTAAAGAGCATAATCACAATCAACATTTCAATGAGTGCCAGGACCAATGCCAACGGGACTCCCAACCATGGTGTCATGACGGTGGACAGCGCAATTACTTGTGGGATGAATGCTATTGGCAAGAGAATGCAAAAGGTGGCAATGGCAAACAGCAAGGCCCACAAAATGGGACACAAGGATGTCTTCCACAGAACTTTGTGCCGTAGGAAATAGTACAGGCCTTGCAGTACATAAGGAGTCATGTTGTTCCAAGTAAGTTTCGATTCTAGTGTTTGGGCAATGGACTCAAGGAGAGGATGTGATGAGTGGTTCTTGGAGTGGCGGCGGAAGGATGATGGAGGGTTTCTTGGGGTGTCGGTGGCAGTGGTGGGAGAGAAAGTGGATGGTGTGGGTCGATGATTGTGCGTCCCTCTACGTACCACAGGTTCAGATACTCGCATCTACTGCTTGCGATGGCAATCTATATCTCGCTAGCTACTACTGATTAGATACCCGCTAGTTCCATTCAGCAACAGCAACAACCTCTGTTCTCTGTTGTTTGTTGTTGATTGTGGTTCGGAAGCGGAAGATGATATTGTTCAAGTCAAAAGCAACGGTCAAGGTAGTCACGAGTATCTGAGGACTCAACCTTTGTAATCGCCGCGAGGCTGCCGTCCACGATCCGCTCATTTTTTTGGTGCACAACCGCAGATGTCACAGATCAAGTTGACCAAAAGTCAATTTATAAAATGCATCGTCTTCCATCCCAATCTTCCACTCACTTTCACTAGTAGGCTAGCTAGAGCATTGTTGTTTCGTCTTTCTCTCTTTTCAGTATTATATTATTATCATGGAAGTAACCAACGCAAAGACTCTCCGACGCCGTCGGCTCTCTCGCTTCCCCATACTGAAAGACGACGATTTTCGACTCTTTGCGGCGCTGCTGGGTTCTACCTTCCTCATACATGTACTGCTCTTTTGCGCTGACCCCGTTGCCGAATCATCATCAGGCACTACGGGATGGAGCATGATTCATATTGGTCATCTGCATCTGTTGCCTTTGATACGCTCCAAAAAGGCTGTCGGTAGTCCGAAATTCAAGGACAAGTGGCTCGAAATAACGAAGCGTTCATCTCTCCTCCTGGAAGACACACCAGAAGCCAACCGTCTAAACGATTCCAATTTCAGCAAACCCGAAGCAGAAGATGATGAGTGCTCTCAGTTTCTGGGATATCCCAAGGAGAGTTCTCCCAACTATTCCATTTGCCTACCAACAACAAAACCCCCGAAAAATGAAAAAGAACATCATCGAGATGCTGCTGCCGGTGGTGAACTCTGGTGTCAATGGAATCCTCTCCTCAACTCCAGTTTCTGTCAAGCCACCAATCTCATGGTGGATCCATCCAAAATCAATGTTGCCCAGGGAGGGGAGGCCATTTATCAAGTGTTGGGCCGTGAGGAACAGGATGAAATGCCCGCTTACGAATCTGGCGCCTTGCAACTATCTCAATGCACTCTCAGCGAACAACACATCAACAGAAAGGATCTACCTTATCATCTCTTTCACATGGTAAACAGTCTGCGAGAACAACGGGAGGACATTGAACAATGTAGCTCCTACGAAGAACGGCCGACTCTGTTTGTGACACGATATGAATATGCTAATCTATACCATACCTACTCGGATTGGTACAGTGCCTATCAATCAGCCATGCTTGCATTACAGGGCAACAAAACCGCAGTGGAAAATGTACACATTGTCTTTTTTGATGGGCATGCCCAAGCCAAAACAGACATGGGATGGAATTTGCTCTTTTCCAATGCCACAGTCTCCTACATATCAGAATACGAAAATAATGACAAGAAAGAGCCTGTATGCTTTCGTCATGTGATATTTGCACCTGCAGGGTATCTTGCACCCACCTCATTGACTCCCATTAAAAACCTTGTTGGTTTCATGGACCAGGGTCCCGATTACTTTGAAACATGCAAGGAAAACAAGTGGCAACGCAGGTTCCGAGACACGCTTGTCATCAATTCCAAACGACAATTGGCTAATTCCAAGGCATGGCTCTATGATCATTATGCTGTGGAACACCATGACAATAAACGAGATCCATTTCCATGTCTGCATCCCGAAGCACCCGATGATCCCAACCAACAAGTGGCACCCAAAAAGAAGAAACAGCCAAAGAATCGTAGTCTCCGAGTTTTGTTGTTGGCACGAGCCAACTATCAAGCCCATCCTCGCATGGATGGCAGGGTATCTCGTATCATTCAAAATGAAAAACAACTCTTGCACTTTCTGGAAACCTACAAGGGTCCTGAAGATAGGTTGCCTGAGTATACAATCCCACCAATGGATGTGAAACGGGTAGTCTTGGAAGAACACGATATGGCTGAGCAAATTGTCATGTTCCAGCAAGCGGATGTTGTGGTTGGCATGCATGGTGCAGGGCTTTCGCACATCTTGCTCGCTCGTCCTGGCACCACATTGCTTGAGATTCGTCCTCCTTCCTTTCGTGGCTGGAGACATTTTGAATTCCTGGCCCAGATCGCAGGCTGCCTTCATCGATCTCATCAGTTGGAAGTGGATGACAGTCGTCCTATTGACCCAACTGATTCTTTTTCAATACCAATCAAGGATTTTGAACTAGCCTTTATGGAAAGTGTATCAATCTTCTTGGATAATCAATGTAAACTCCAGTAGCAGCTAGCTACGGGAGCTAGTGTAGTGGCTGGGGTGTGCTAACAAATAAGACATGTGTTAAAGATTGCTCTTTGTATCCAACTAGATTCGCGCTGACCCGGGCTACTACTCTAGTAGCTGCCTGCTGTGTGGTCTTGGTCGTGAAAATCCTTTCAATTGCTCCTGCAGACACTCTGATCTTGTCCTGGCAGATGTGCGGGCACAGCTGTGGGCACCATGTTTGATGCCTTGTCTGAGCTCTTTCCTGGTACTTATGGTGAAAGAGACTGCTGCGTGCATGTGTGGGTCATCCTGTTGTCTTCGAACCTAAAACTGGGATCTGCAATCTGCAGGTGGCAGGTGGTTGCAACGAAGAAGCAGTAGTCAACCCTCCGAGCGTTCTATGCCATGGCGGACCCCTCCACTAGTAGCTAGCAGCTTGCTAGTAGCAGTGGTACGGCTTGGTGCTTGGTGGCCAGTCTCAGTGGTACTATTAGTAGTACATGTGCTACACAATGTCATTACACATTACACATGCATGCACAATGCTCAGCTCAATCCATCGCGGCACTGGCTCGTGCTTGGATCCTGTAATTTCTATGACTGGGAAACATCCCACGTGCCATCTGTTGAGGAATCTGTATCGTCGATACCTTGATTTTAAATCTGCTATCGTTGTCTTATTCTTCGGAACGGTGAGCTTTTTGGGACTAGCTAGAGGCATGGTGACCTCATCAAGCCACGCCAGACCGGCAGGCAGCTAGAGTAGCTACGCTGTACGGTGCAGTACATGGACTTGCAGCAATGCCAATCTCATCTGTTAATCTTATTATCAGGGTAATATATCCGCGTAACTGGCAACTGTGATTGAGACGCTTTCGCTTTCAACCAGAACTGGTTCAGATGCTTTCTAAATTTGCCCCGGTTTTGTTTAACGATTGCACCGCTTCGATGAGCGTGAATTTACTGGGAAAGCGCGACATCTTTTCACTGAAGAGGACCTCTAAGTATCTTTCCGAGTCTGTTTTCCTGCGACATCACTAGATGTCCGCAATTCACTTTCACGTAAAAATTCTACTAGATCCTACAGCTATCGTACATGCCTCATGGTTCCTCACAGAGTGTCCCTAAGTATCTTTCCGAGCAGGTTTCTGTGATTGAAGATTCACGTAGCTTTCACGTACAAATCCTACCACATCCTACATGGTTCTTCACAACTCGATACCCCTCTCCCTCCAACCTCCAATCGATCCGAAGATCTCACAATTTATTTGCAATCTATCAAACCAAACCAACCATCCAACAACTAACTAAACCAATCCTTTTTCAATTCAACAAGAGCACCATGCCGCGCCCGACTGCCATTGCCCCCACCAAAAACGACGCCGTCTTTGGTCGAGGTGGAGGGAGCAACAAATGCCGCAAGAACACGTGCTTTCGCGACTTGATCGAGCATCATTGGATCCCCTACTCCAGCATCGCCCATCACCAAACTCGGGCCAAGAAGGCATACGTCAAAGAGTTCGTGATTCGTCCCATTTCCGAGATGGGAGGCCGCTTTCTCAAGTTTGAGTCATCCGGTTGTTACGAGCTCTTGCCCGCTTGTCCCACAGATCTCAAAGCCATCTACCAAAAGATTTCTCAGTCGATGCGAGACGAAAAGAAAAAGCATTGTGCGACACAGCTGACCAATATGACTACCAAGAAATCTACCAAGAGCTCTACCAAGAAGGCTGAGAAGCGTGTGAAGCGCGTCCGATGCAGCAACGACGACTCCAGCGTGAGTACTGCTTCCACCACTTCTTCTTCCGATTCCTTCTCCTCCGAAGAAGAGCCATCCATCATTGACTACAGTCATTCTCCATCGGTTGCCGATGCCTGGATGGACATTCGCCTTGCTCCCAACGGTGCGTTCAAGGACGATGAGTTCGTTGAGACATCCATGGGCGAAGACGAAATGATGGCTCTGCTCAACTACGAAAGCAGCTTCCAAGGCAGCACCACCGAGCCGTTCTGGCTCGGTGCTACCGACGAGACCGCCATGTAAGGGTCATCATGAGCGGTTTGGCTGGCTATGCTATGATATGATTGCTGGCTGTACTCTGCTACTAATAAGGAAACCATTGGGATATCTACATCAAACAGTCGCAACTTCCAGCGCACGGGATTATTCATTATTTGCCCTTTATACATTTACATTCTTTTTACGCACTCTATTATTGTTAGGATTGGGTGCATACAACTCAGTAAACACAGAAGACTTGAACTTATCTAATTGTCACTTACTTACTTACTTTACTAGCTGCAGAAGTCCTTCATTTCGGTATGGCTGCTATTCAGTAACTTCTAGCTTCTCGGGTGGTGTGAATTGGAATGCTAGCAGACGAGCTCTACCATTTTGCTTCGGCTGCCTGCCTACCGTACATGTGGCAGTGTTCGATTGAACGATGAACCACGAGCGGTTTCGGAGGATACGATGGCCTTGGAATCAGTACTGAATGGCTGCTGTGTTATGTAGCTAGTAGGAATGGTTTCGTCTAGCCTCTTCACCTTTGTCCAGCACAGCACAAGAGTGTAAGCTTAGGAAGTGAAGTTGTCTACCTGGTAGTTTGACTCTCGGAGCATTGAGTCCGCCTTGGTTGATCCCGACTTCCCAGATTGGGCCTGTATGTTGACCGGGTGTCCCACGGGTACGGTAGGATCTTAAGATGTCCGACGTGTCACCGCCTCTTCCAACAACTGTCTTGTGATGCTCACCAAATTCAAGACTGTTCTCGCCGTCCTCATCTATGGCAACAGCAGGTTTGATGTCCACAAGCTCGGCCGGTCCCAAGGTCATTGAGGTCCTCAAGAAGCAGCCAGACCTTCTTGTGCGATCCTTTGTACGTGTGTATGCAACGTCCGCTACGAGTAGACCATACTATAGGGAATCATCTTTGTCTACTAGGAATTAGAAGTATACTTTCATAACAATGTCATGTATCAATGGAAGACGAATGATTCAATCAAAATGTGAGAATCTTATCGCCCTTTTAACGAGAACGAGGTCGGGAAGACGTAGGATGGGCACGAGCATTCCCACATACCATACCGACACATATCAACAGTCCACGGCAACACGGCCATGAACATCGGTGGAAACTTTCACAAGAGGCACATTGCTCTTCAACACGGGCAATTCTTGCATGTCCGAGAAACTGGTAGAAAGACTTGTGTTGCTGGCGTTTGGAGAACTCTTCTGGCTGGATTCAGTTGTCTCCGTCACACTTGTAGGGCTATCCAGCCGCTTGACCATGCAGCTGTCCAATCTCATAACCCTGCCACAGTGTCCACTCCCCCTGTACAAAACAGCATCAGCTGTAACAGTCTTCCTGAACCCGGGGCCAATAGTCCTGCTCATGATAGCATGTGGTGCCCATGTACGATTCTTCTTGCTAAGACCGCGACTGCCGCTGCTAAGGCTGGGACGGGAAGAGTTGTCACCTTCATCCTCACTGTCACTGAGGTAGAGCTCATCTTCATCGTCAGCCAAGAGGATCATTTCTGGTCGGGACAGAATGGTGGATCGCCTTGTGCTCGATCTCTTCTTGGAAGCTTGCTTCTGATGAAGGCCCTTCATCGAATGTTCCTTCTCAAGGCTTCCTATGGATGGTTTCTTCTGGAAGCCTCTCATGGAGGACTGTGTACGAAGAGCTCTCATGCAAGCTTGACACTGGATGTCTCTCATGGATTTCTTCTGTTTCTGAAGACTTCCCACAGAAGCCTGCTTCATTTCAGAGTGCATTGGCACACTCTCGGCAACCTCCTGGATCTCCTCAGTATCAAATCCCTGAATGGCCTCTGTTCCAGTCGTCAACAAAGATGCAATGCGGTCCCGTTGGCGGATACGATTGCAGAAGGGATAGGCAGCAACCTTCCCACACTGAATCATCCATGAATAGAATGGCACAGTTGGCTCAGCACAGAAGTTGTAGTAATCAGCAAAAGTGAGCTCTGGTACAATGCTGGCACACCCTTCATAATCTTGCAAAACAATGGAAGATGCCTGCCAAGGGAGAAGATTAAGATGGCTGAGGAAGGAAATCTGCTGGGTCATTGCAATCTTCAGCAACTTCTCTGTGGCAGCCAGAAGGAATCCACCACGCCACTTGCCAAAGACTCTACTCTCAAAACAGAAAGGTGTAACATGGGGGTTTGTCTGACCACTCACAAAGAACCGACAATCAAACATCTCTGCCAAGGCTGCCTTGGGGATATCTTGCTTGACAGATCCATCCATATACAGCTGGTTCTTCAGGGTTTCAATCGTCCCATCACGTCGCTTGACCTGCAATGGGCGAGGAGGGAGAAGTCCTGGGCAGCAAATGGAACAAAGGACTGCAGAAGCCACAGTGACATCCGGGGCAGTGATATGGTTGAGCAAGATTGGTCTGGCCTTCTCAATTGTGCTTGTGACACATGCATTGAAGACTCTTCCACTTTTCTCATAAGCTTCAGCAAAGGTCAAGTGTCCTTTGGTAAACCAGAGAATGCTCTTTTCCCACTCAAGAGGGTCAAACACATGCCCATGGCTAAACAAGATCATCATTCTTTCCAGAAAGGTTTGAGAAAGGGAAGTAATCCGAGAGCACATCACCTCCACTTTGATCTCATCGCGGATTTCGTCATCTGTCCTCACTGCAAGGGCACATGCAAAGATGGAACCACCACTAGATCCACTGAGCACCTTTGGCAAGCATCCATTATCAAGCATAGCCAAAGCAATGCCAAGGTTCTTAAAGGCCATGGTTGCACCACCGCTGAAGCAGTAGGCTGTCTGTCCAAAACTAGCTTCAGCCTTCTCAAATAACTGCTGTGCCATGGCAATTTGAAGTTCATCGCAGCTGCCACCCTTTACTTCATTGATGACCCATTCTAGACCTTCAGCAAGCTTCTCAACAAAGTTGGAGACAATTTGGTGTGGTTCTCCTGTATTGGTAGCCACAAACATGTCAGAGTGTTCCAGGAGTGCATAGTCCTTGAGACAGTTGAGGCCAAGGATCAAATGATTAATGACAGCATCAAAATCGTTGCTCTGCGCATCCCACTCCAAGCTGCGGGTCAGCTGATCAACGTAGTACAAGTCGAACTGGTCCTCAATCTGTATCTTGAGCTGTTCCCCATGGTCTGAGATCCCATCAAGTGACTCTGCTACTTTGTGCCATTCTTCATAGGATGGAGCGGCCCGGAGTAGGTTCATAGCTCGGACCCGGAAACGCCCTTTGCTGGTAAGAGTCTGTGTGAAGCGTTCGAACAGGAAGATGACTGTTCGCACCATAAAGTACCCGACAGCTTCGGCAACAATCATGACATAGACAACCAAAGCCACAGGCCATTGAAGAACCAAGGTCAAGTCCACGAAACAGGAAATGTATGTCAATGATAGGGCCAAAGCACCATACTGGACAGCTGGCTTAACAATGTATGGTTCAATGTGCTCCTGAGAGTACTGCTGAATGATGTCCTTCCAACTAGAGTCCAACTTCATCAAACCAATGTTGGCAACGACCAAAGCAGCATTGAAGAAAGCAAAGTAGAAATGGACATTGGAGGAAGATTCAGCTTTCTTGTCCACCCCTCTGAATAGCTCATAGCTCTCACGATGGTACACAGAGGCACTCTTTTTTCCGATAAGTTTTCCCATGATTTTGGTTGGAGTCTGGATTTTATGACAACAGCCCACGGCAACACTGCCACCCGAAGATTGGATTGCATTCTCAACTGGCTGGCAACGTGGGCCTGTACTGTACGACGAGTTGCACCGGTAGTCTCTGACAGTCTGACAGTACCACAGTTGGTAAAACAGTGGTAAAGACAGTGAAAGACAGTGGTCATGCCCTTGCTGGCTCACGTAGATAATCCTCCTACTCTAAAACCTCCGTTGAATGACAGCGGTAACTGATAAAGACAGTCAGAATAGGTTTAATCGTAATAACGATTCCGGAATTAATGAATGGCTACAGTGTGGGACACTACCGGTACTAGCTACGGTGGGTGACGCCAGACGTGGTACCGTAGTGAAAGTAACCACAGTGATCGGCAGAGTGGCTCCATCCTGAAAGAATCAGTGGTGAGCATCGGATGTCACGGATTTTCTCCATCTCCAGTGGTGAAAGCAACCACAGTGCGTGGTCGTAGTAACTCCTCGCTGAAAGCACTGGTGATCTAGGATTTTCACCCCTATGTTTAGGCTAACTGTTCGTTCATCGCGTGTCGCATGTGTTTTCAGAAGATTGGTCATCGTGCCGTGTGCCGCGGACACTGCAGAACCAGCATTCCAGCAGCTATTCCAGCATCAGACTAGTCTATTTGTGCCGAATGGGTTTGTCTGATGACCAGGTGTCCCACCGTCCCACCGGTACGGTACGGGATCTTGAGATTTAATGTGTGTGACCAATTAGATTTTCATGAATTAAATCTTTGGATCTTTTCTGAAACGAAAGATCCGTTGGTGTTGGTTGGTTGGTGTGTTGGAACTCAAGTGGTTTCGTAGATGCAGAGGAGGCCAACATATCATGTCAAGATGGCCTATTTATCGTATCGATTTGTTGCAACTGGTCTCACGCAGGGAAGCTTGCACTTGCCCAATTGGGACTGTTCTATCGCGCAATTGAAGGGGCGACTCCAAGAAGAGATTGGTATCCCTGTGGAGTTCTTCACCCTACGAAATTGCCAAGGTGAAATATGCTCGAATGAAAAACAGTCTCTTCGCTATTATGGTATTTCTCAAAAAAACAAAGTACGCGAGCAACGACAGAGTCGATATCGTCCTTTCCTGCCCAAAAGGTGGGATCACCGTGCAGATCCAAACTCTTCGAGGAATCCACCGATGGTATGTAGACCCATACAGGGAAACACTGCAAGGTCTTAAAAAGCAGCTGCGAGCATGCCTCCAAGATCTCAACGAGAAAAGAACATTTTTAGATACTGCCCGAGTCTTCTTTTGTGAACAAGAAGTACTCGAAGCAGGCGAAAGCAAGACGCTTTCGGAGTTGGGGATAGTGGCGGAGGGGTCGAGGCTTCTAGTTGTTGGATCGCGCACCGCCGATGTTGTGGATAGCTCATTGGTAGAAAAGGGATGCACAATCCCACAGGCGGAGCTACGCGGTATTACCCTTCGCCAACTTCAAGAGGTGGTAATCCATATCTTTAATAGGTGTGAGCCAGAAGGTTGGACCAGCACTCTGGATGGCCATTTACTCAAACCAGAAGAAGTCAACTTGTATGACCTAAACCATCATCACATCAAGCCTTCCACCTCGGAGCGCAAGTGTAGCTACGTGGAAGCCGTAGCCAGTGGGCCTCAAAACCACATGTACCTTGTATCACATTGGTGGGGCGAACCCGTGGTGGAATTTGTCAATTGCTTGACACAACATGCATTTGACCGCAATCTCCCAGATACAACATCTTACTGGGTTTGTGCTTATGCGATCAATCAACACCAATTGGGCAGTGAATTGGCGGATCCCAACCCCAAACACTCTCCCTTCTTCAAAGCCATGCAATCCGCCGTCGGAACTGTTTCAGTACTGGATCGAAGAGGTATTACTTACAAACGGATTTGGTGCAGTTTTGAGCTTTATCTCGCCTTGGTCGAGCTTGCCTCTTCTCGGTCAAACCAAGCAAACAAAAGATACTTGTACGATGTCTACACCGCGGCAAGAGTGGATGCTTTGGAGAGGAACTTTCCTGTAGGTATCACCGATGGACTTGCTGCCTCGGACAAATGGATCACAAATAGATCCACCGGTCTTTTGGACTTTAGTGTGGAGACAGGTAGTGCAGAAAGCAAGAGTTCTCGAGAGAGATCTTTCCCATCCATAATGATGGATCAGGCATTGAGTATACAGCTCGAAACAGCGTATGCTACAGAAGAAACCGACAAGATTCGGATCCTAAATTACATTATTGGAGAGACTGATCTGGACAAAGTACCCACACCAACGACCCACGAAAAGTTTAATGAGGTAAATGCATTGTTACGAGGCAAATTTGCGGTTTCAGGCTATGCAAGGGCCGTGGATGCTGGGGAAGATATGACAGAATACAGACAGATACTCTCCAAATCCCCAATGCGTCATTTGGAGATCAGCTTCCACAATAATATTTCTAACTTCTGGAACGAAGTGAAATATTTTCTCCATTGTCTCCCACTGACGCTAGAAGAGGTTGCTTTGGTATTTAGTTGGCAGAGTCTTCGCGAGAGCTCCAACCCTTCCAGTTATCTTGATATCTTTGTGGGTCTCGGTCGCCTTCTCAATCTGCGTTCCCTGGCACTTGAATACAACAATATGAACTTGACAAGCTGTTTTATCCCCTCATTTGTCAACGAGATGACAAAATTGCGGAACCTGGAAAGCCTGCATTTGAACTTTTCTGCCAACGACATCCTGTCTATCAACGGACTTGAAGAAGCGATTGAAACGCAACGTCAATCCTTGTGCAATCTTCATCTTGAATTTGACGCGAACCAGCAACTCACCTCTATCCAGAGTTTGGTCAGCGGTGGCATTCAAAAGTTGCAGTGCCTGCGAGATTTAAGTCTGGCATTCAACCTTTGCCCCTTGGAGAGCCTTGGTGGGTTGGGCGCAGTGTTGGCACAGTCGACATTTCACTTGGAAAAGTTGAAGCTCGATTTCGTGGATTGCAGAGAAGTCAGCAATGATTGCTTCCTTTCGCTTTTCGACGCTTTGGAACACAGGCAGAGCAAAACTCTAAAGAGTCTTTCTTTGCGTTTCCGCAAAAACGGGCACTTGTCTTCCCTCGATGGTCTTGCAAGCGCAATAGCCTGCATGGCGCATTTGGAGAAATTGGTCTTAGCTTTCAACTGTTGCAATCAGATAGGCGCTCTGCATTTCTGGAGGATTGCAAAAGCGCTTGTCGATCATACGCGTGAGGATATGGAGCTCTGTCTTGTCTTTGGAAGATCGCCAATCCGACGAAGGAGTTGGCTCTATGACGCCAACACATTGGGAAAATTAAGGTCAGCGCTGGCGAGGACGGATGCCTTTGCCAAAGCTGAACAGCTCTGGGAGTGAGGAATGCTCTTTAGTAGCTAGTCGCACATCTAGCTAGAACAGGGATCGCAAGCCTACCGTAGCTAGCCACTTGCACTACCAGGTAGTCCAAGCTCCAGGCATCGTGCATGCAATTTGAAAAAAGGCATTCCAGCTCTGTGGCTGGTTATTGGCCATCGGGTCTCGGGCCGCTTGCCTCTTCACCTCTTCTCTGGCTTACCGGTACTTTCGGCGTAAGGCTAAATAGCAATAATAATGCTATTGCGCATTGGTTCCCAGGATCTTCGGAGTTGACCGGAAAAATCATCATGAATCTCTCCGCCAAATCCTTCTCCGATCAATTTGGGTAAACAAGAGCCCGTTTGCTTTGTCTGCTCACAAGACTGCATTGGAGATGTCGGCTTCAGCTTCCATTCACTTTTTCACGCCAAGATTTGCACTAGCGTACGAAACGATGAAACTGATCAACTGTGTTTTCGTTGCCACAGCCGCAATGGGGGCTCTGCATGTTGCGGATGCTTTTGCGAGTAGCCCACTACTCAAGACAATCAAGAAGAATGCCAGAAGCTCCACACCTCTATTCGTCTCGACATTGACCCAAGATGTGTTTGAACAACCATCCCAGTTTTCACCCGACATGTACCTACAAGAACAACGAGTCCATGAAGAAGAAGAAGATGCCACAAAGCCGGGCTTTGACTATGTGTCATTTGCCCACGAGCACCCATTGTACAACAACATGATGATTGCCTCTGGCAAAGCCGCCATTGCAGATATGTTTGCACAGGTTGTCATTGGACAGACGGGGTTAGATGCGTTGGATTGGCAACGCACTCTTCTGTTTTGTCTCTTTGGTGCATTGTACCAAGGAGGTTTCCAGTATCTCTACCAAGTCAACATCTTCAAGAAGCTATTTGATGTGGAAAAGTTCACCTCACAGACTTGGGAAGAAAAGCTACAAGACAAGGAGGGGCTGATCAGCTTGGCTGCCCAAGTGGCACTGGACTTGACCATTATGTCATCCATTTACTTGCCGACATACTACACCTTCAAAGCCAGTATTTTCAGCGGGACACTTGACCCCAGTGCTTGGTTTCAGGATGGCATGATCACATATGGATCCCACTTTTGTAGGGACGAGGCAGACTTACTTCGAATTTGGCTTCCAGCCGATCTCCTGTGCTTCTCAGTACCCCTGATTCTGAGGCTTCCTCTGCGTCAAGTGGTTAGCCTTTTCTACACTGCATATCTGTCATCCGCCAGTTTTGGAGTTGGAAACTGACCAAACACGGCGAAGAGAAGTAAAAGCAACACTCCAGTCTGGGAGTTGTCGAGATGCAATGCCCCAGCGACGAAAATTTATATACAACACTGTACATACAGCGTCCTGGTGTGAATCAATCAAAGGTACGCCAATACTCTTGGGGCCAGTGGAGGCGCAACATCAAACTAGACATAAAGGAAATCCAAACCAAGTAATAGAATTCATAACAACAACAATCTAACAAGGTAGTCAACAAAGATTGAATTCAAGCTAGTTCGAAAAGATTGAATTGAGTTCACGGGAAAGAATATAGACTGCATGCTAGCCCTGGTATAGTTTCGAAATGGCAGTGGAGCCTCACCGACGCCCCCTTCCTCTGCCTCCGCGACCTCTTCCACGCCCCCTACCTCGGCCACGACCGCCTCGTGGGGTCGCTTTTAGTCTATCCGAGCCATGATGCACCCTCACCAAACCTTGCATAAGCTCGTCGACAGGAAAGCAGCATTCGTGTTTCGTGCCATCCGGAACGGGAGAGTCGCCGTCTTTGAACTTGACTCGCATCAAGTGGACACCTAGAACATCATCCTTCTTGTCGAGTACCGTAACCTTTTCAACGTTTTGAGGCAAATGCACAATCGTCGGTGCTCTCGTGGCCACAAGCCTCCATTTGGGACCGAGATGGGGATCCAAAATCAACACACCATCGGAATCAGGATCGGGACTCACAGTTAGCTCCTCAATCAAAGGATGCTCATCTGGTAGTGGACACTCCAGGGTGAGCATTTTGCCTGCCACTGTTTTGATTTGCTTTTCTTTGCTCTTGTCTTCTCTTTCAACTTGATCCTCCGGGAACGCATCGGATTCAAGAGCCCAGTCGGGATGGTTGAAACAGTAAGGACACAACGGGAACGTCCGCTGGGGCTGACCTACCGAATACAGGCACAGCTCAAAATTGCAACCTTCCACGGGACAAGTGCGCCCTGTCCATTGCTTGACAATACCTCCAACCGGCAGTGCATACACTGTTTCAGTGTATTTGTTGTACAAGCGTGGTGGTGGGCCAGGAATGTACTGAAGATAGCGTCTGATAAGGCGAGAACAGTTAGTCAGCAGCTTCCAAGCACCCCATCTTCTGTAGTCAATCTACGTACCTTGACAGTCCACAACGGGTGAAGGGCTTCCCAATGTCCTCGAGCTTGCTGAACGAAGAACCAAAGAGCACATCCATCTTTCCAATGTTTTTGACAAAGTAATCAAACTTCCCCGAAAACAACTCAATGGCCTTTTCCACAACATCAGCTCGGCTTGCTATGCCCTTGGCAATCATGGCACACTGGTCCTCGATGTCGCTACGAATTTGAGGCAACACCAACGTGCTATCGATTTGATGATAGCCTTGGACAAGGACCAATCCCTGTTGAAGGAAGGGGAAGACGTAAGTTCCGCTGCACCTCATCTGAAACAAATCCCTGTTCATTTTATGAAACACACGTACCAGTTTCGTAGGATGTAGGCGGCGGCCGGCGGTCTGCAAATCGCAGTATCTTCTCTTCTGAATGTTCTCAATGTGAGTTGGGATACTAGCGTCAGTCCCAATTCCATGCTTTTCCATCAGCCCAATGAGCTCTGACTCTGTCAACAACGAAGGTGGCGTCGTCATCTTTTCGCGGATAAGCAAATTTGCACGCACTGGTTCCCCAGATGCGACGGCTACTTTTGTCGAGTTGGACTCAGATCTGCATCCTGCCAGAAGAATCAATTCGCCCTTTTGGAATTCAGGAATTGATCTCTCTTCCTCGTCTTCATCGCCTCCTTCGGCGTCTTCTCCGTACTCTCGGCTCAGAACGATTGCAAGGAACCCAGGAGAGACGAGCTGCCGTGGTAAAACCGAAACGAAACCGCAGAGTAAACGTAAGTCCACAACCTGACTGCATCATGATCAGGCAACCACACTTCCACAATACTTGCCTCTTTCCCTCGTAAGCTGAACTTTCCCTTTTCGCCAAGTGCGTCCACTTCGAATTCGATTGCTGTCGATTTCCAAACTGCATCCGGGCTGACGGACGCAATAAAGTGTCGCACTACAAGGTCAAAGACTCGGCCCATGTCGCCTGACAACTCATAAGAACCGCCGCGGCACGGAGTGATGGGAGGGTGGTCTCCCATATCGACTCCACCTTTAGATTTGTTGATTCCAGTATTCATCAAGTCCCGCACGTACTTCCCCCAACGACCATCAGTGGCTTGTTGTTGAAGGGTGCCCCGGATGTCAAATGAATTTGGGTACGCTGTAGACTCTGTTCTGGGATAGGAGAGGTACCCCATCAAGTACAGGCGCTCCGCTGCTTGCATTGCTGCATGGGGACCAATTCCCAGTGCTTTACTGCAAGCTTTCAACAGAGCCACAGTGTTTAACGGCACTGGTCTGCCTTGTTTCTTCTCCTTGGTCACCACACTCGTGACTGTGACCACGGCGCCCTTCTCTTGTGCCTCCGCCAACAGGTTCTCTACCTTTCCTTTGTTGAATGATCGACCCGAGTTCCACAGGGCTTGCAACATCCGGCCTCTCTTGAACACATTCAACTCCAAGACCCAAAATGGCTCGGGCTTGAATGTTTCGATTTCAATCTGTCGTTTGACGCAAAACTGCAAAGTCGGTGTCTGACAAGGTCCATACGACAGAACCGCACTGGATGCATATTGTTGGTTGTCGGGCAGGTAGAGTAATGTGAGGTGACCCAAAACCAAAGGAGTGCAGCACTAACGACGATCCGCTCGATCAACTAACTAGCTAACTCACCTGTCAAGGTCTCCGTATCGTCCCTGGAAGTATCGTGTCTGGAACCTCGAAAAGGCCACACCAACCTTCAGATCCAACTCTTGTCGAGCATCTACTGAAAGAGCCTGATTCTTGTCTGGCTTTCCAAGAGCCTTATACGCCTTTTGAATATCGCTAGGGTTGATTGCGCTAAAGTAGGCGCGATCTGTAAATCGTCACAAGATAGAGCATGCATGCATGAGAACGACCACCATCAGGGATATGGTATTTCGGTACCGTAGATCACACAGTGTACGTTAGCGAGAAAGCACAGACTTACAAACACGGTCAAAGTTGGACGATGTCCCTCCTGATGCCATCATGTGCATACAGCAATCCAACACTTCAAAGTTGATATTCTCTCCCTCTCTTTGGAACACAACCAAAGAACATCCATAGGAAACCGCAAGGTTGGTTAGCCATGAATTCACCATGCATCACAAACTACTATCTCTTCTGTCTGTTCTGTTACATACCGATCACAATCCATCCAGAGCACAATGAAATTGGCACCTCGAGCACCATTTTCGAGATTCTTGATGACTCCTTGATTTTGTGCCTTTTTGACAATGGGTGCCGTGAATAGTTCAGCCGGGTCCACGGCATCCCAGCTCTGATACTTAGGATGAAAATCTACCGAAAAGACATGTCCTGCCACGGAAGTGACCTTGTGTTTGCACTTGCTGGCATGAGGTGCCTTTGGGAATGGTGGATTGGTGAATTCGTGCATGGGCATGCCCCTGCCTCCACCCTGTTCCGTAGATCCACCCGATAGTCCCTTGGCGATGGCCTGGAATGAATTGATGGATGGAAAGACAGATAGGCAAACGTAAGTGAATTTTCAAAAAGAAAGGTCGAGAGAGTGTCAGGTATGGATAGTCAGTCATGATCACGAACGAACGTACCAGAGCAATACTAGGTTTCTCTGCCACGTGAAGTACCGTAATGGTCTCTCCTCGTTTGTAGTTGATATCATTGGTTAGCTGTGGCTCGCTGGGAGGGACTGCGAGAGCATAGGGCGACTTTGGTTCAGTTTTCTTAGTATTGTTGGGACCTTTCTTGCCTTCATTTTTCTTTTGTTGAGTATTGTTGTTGTTTGGTTTATTGTTGTTGCTATTTTTGCCTCCTTCGTTTTTGTTGTTGGCTCCTTTGTTCTGATTGCTGTCGTCCTTATTGTTTTGTTTGGTGTCCTTATTGTTGTTCTGCTTCTGATTACTGCTGCTGTCCTTGTCCTTGTTGTTCTGTTTGTTGCCTTTTCCTTTTTCGTTCTTCCCAGTCTGTGGTGGATTTTTCTTTTGCTCTTCTTTCTTATTGTCATTCTTATTGTCATTCTTATTGTCATTCTTATTGTCATTTTTCTTGGCTTTGTTCTGGTTTTCCCTCTTTGGCTTGTTATTGCTGTTTTTCTTGGCGTTGTTGTTGTTGTTGTTGTTGTTACTGCTGGCTTCACTGGGATTGACATTGACATTGATATTAATATTGACATTGACATTCTCTGTGGGAGCCTCTGTCTTGTCATCATTCTGCTTTTCGGACGGGCTGTTGCTTTGTCTGCCTCTTCCTCTCCCACGTCCTCCTCTTCCTCTTCCGCGCCCCCCTCTTCCTCGTCCTCCTCCACGACCACCACCACGTCTACCTCCACCGCCATCTCCATCTGCACCACCATCTTGATTAGATGATGCATCTCGTTGGCCTGGATTGGCTGGATTGTTGCCTTGACGTCCTCGACCGCCCCTTCCACCACGGGGACCTCGTCCTTTTCGACCGCCTCCTCGACCAGCCGCCGGTTGTGTGTCCTCTGTCATGGTCCCAATCAACCAAACACGAAAACTTTCTTTACTCTTCTACTAGCTAGCTAGCCAGACCGATCGGCTCCAGAGCAGACGGAGCCTTTCTTCTACAACAATAATGAAGCTTCTATCTTCCTATGGTGTGGCACCGGTACCGACACCGTGGATTGCGATGAACGGTGGGAGTGAAGTCGATCCAGTCTAATGAGCCAACATAGCTGACTGATTGATGTGGTCGCGGCCCTGCCATGTCTTTCGGCGTTCCGTGCGACGCCCTTTCTTCTTCATCATTATTTGTTTTTCAAAGAGAAGTCAAGTCACAAAACACCTTCGCCGACAACCACCATGATGCCAAGAAGAAGACACAGCCCAATGTTTGCAATAAGGTCCTTTACTATTAGAGTCCTCCTCATTGCCTTCTGTTTGGCACCCTCCTCACTGGCTCAGTTTAATTCCAGTTGCTCCGAAGACGCCGTGGCCAATTGTGCTTCGGAGAATCGCATCTGTTACATCGCCGTTGTGTCTCAGGAAGAGACCTGTGGCCCATGGTACGCTACGCTACAGTAAATTACGTGACGATCGATCGCTCCACTGCACCTGATTGGTTTGCGTTCCTCACCGTTCTTATTCGTCCATAAATTTACAGTGTGGAAGGCTATGTCGATTTCCCACCGGGAGCCGTCGTGACACTGGAAGCATCCACCAACACCGATCTGACACGGCTCTACAATTGTTTTGCCATTGACAAACTCACCGTCGCGCTCTTTATCGAACGCTTTGCGCCCACATTTCTGAATGGACAAGTCGGCAATGAGACGCAGCGTCTGATCGCTCTGGTCGAAGCAGCTCGCACCGTCGCCGAATTCAATCGAAAATCCGGCGATACCAATACCAGCAGAGAAGCCGTCGAGTTGGCACTCAACGAATTTGCCATGGATACTCCCGAGGAACGAGAAACACTATTGGGCTACCTGAGACCAGAAGAAGGAGAAGATACGGGATCCAATAATGTCTTTGTTCCCAGTGTAGATACTCCGTATCCCAGCAGTGTCAATTGGCGGGAATTGGGAGCTGTCACGTCGGTCAAAAATCAAGGCCGTTGTGGCTGCTGTTGGGCCATTAGTACCGTGGGCGCGTTGGAAGGAGCCGCGGCGATTGCTTCCAATTTCACGTATCTGCAATCCCTCAGTTTTCAACAATTCATTTCCTGTGACTTGGCACATAAAGGATGCAATGGAGGCTTTCCCTCGCAAGCATTTGATTATGCCGATGACCGTGGTGTCGCCAAATGGGAGGATTATCCCTATACGGATGGCAAAAGTGGAACCACCACCGAAACCTGCGAGTTAAAGGGAAAACCCATTGAAGTCGAAACAGGTCCGGGGTACAAGGTGAACTATTATGGTGATGTCGACGATGATACGTTTACCAAGCGGGTCGACCGAATGAAATCGGCACTAGCCAAAGGGCCCGTCGCCATTAGTATCAATGCCAATTGTGCACGAATCATGTTGTATCGAAAAGGAATCCTCACCGATGATGGTGCTTGTGCCTGTACACCCGATATGGAAACCTGTCACAACCATGCCATTTTGATGGTCGGATACAGCGACAATGCACTCATTCCCTACTGGATTATCAAGAATAGGTAAGTCAGAAAAGCTGACAACGCGCGCAAGTTCCAATTTGCTTGCCACTACACACAAAGGATGCATAACTGACTGACTGACACCACTCCATGCCAGTTGGGGATTCTTGTGGGGTGAAGGTGGCTACTTTCGTGTGGCACAACTCAATCCACTGGATACGGAGAACTCGTATGGGCTATTCGGGGTTTTGGCCGAGGGAATCATACCGGAAGGAACCGCCAAAAGCACTGGAAAGGTATTTGACAAAAATGAACGACGTCCTACCTGGTGGAAGGTCTTGGTGGCATGTTTGGTCATCTTGGGAGTATGCGTTATAGCCCTGGTGGCACTGTTTGCCTGGGAACGGTTTGGAAAGAAGTGAATGAATGAAAATGCGCTCCATTCGTCATAGATGATAGATGGATTGATACTGTTGCTGAACGGAAGTGTACGCCTTCATGACACCAGTACAGAACTGCATTGCCAAGGTCATCTTTTTGTACTCTGAACTCATCAGATGGAACGCATCACTCACCAGATAGATGGGATGAGACTGCAGAGAAGCCAGGCAAGTTGGTGACGTTTAGAGCAGTCGAGTAGAGGCAGTGTTGGAAAGTCAAGTGGATGGCAGTGTTGGAAACAGTTGCATTCTTTACTTGGGATAGCGATCAGTGGCCCCTCAAGTTTGACATAGTTGCAGGACTATAATAATGTAGAAAAGATGGAGTATGATGAGAGATCATAGGATTTCCACCCAACAGGTGGCCTGCCAGCAGTGACTCTTGCTTTTGGGTAGTTGCCTTAGCGTTTAACCTTTGCAAAGCATCTTTTTAGCTTCTAGGAGCCACGAAAAGCATCTTTTTAGCTTCTAGGAGCCATTGAATGCTCCTTCTTGCCCCGTCTTGAGGAAGGCAATGGTGTACCAGCCAGTATATCGTCCTGCTTCAGGCAGGCAAGCCACGTCAAATCTTTTGAAGGCCAACTCAGGACCTCGTCTTCGGGTGGCTGCGTTCACAGTCAGGTCAGGATTTCCGAAGACCCAAGAGGCATCGTTGGGTCTTGGACTTGCGTATGAAAAGGCTGAAAATGGGGGAACAGGCACATACCACATAGTTACCACATAGCGGCATGTCATCCAGTTACCAGCTCGGGTACCACACCTGCTTCAAAGGATTTGGAAATTGCACCTCCGGTAGCACTTGTGCAACGACGTCATGCCTTCGTCAAGCAAACCAGCTGCCCAATTTTCCTCGTATTTTCATGTGGTACTCAAATCAATTAAATCTTTGTCTGACGCGGGGTGAATGTGGCAAGTTAGGCGACAAGTTCATCAGAACCAAATTTGGTTGACGGAGATGAAAGTGCCAAAATCCGGAAGACACCAATGCTGACAACCGCAGCTATAGCTAGCTGGATGTCTAGAAAAGATCGATCAGCGATCGTCCAAGAAAATGCACCATCGTTGCTCTCCAATGGCAAAAGCCCTCATGCAGCCCTCATAATTTTGACTTGGCTTCAAGCGAACTATTCTTCTTATCGTCTTCTTTTTGCTCCTGTAAAGCAACTACTATCACCAACACCAACATGAGCCAGTCTACGCAACCACAACCTTCCCTCTCAACTTTGAGCAGCATCAAAGTCACACATCAGATTCCAACATCTGTTATCGTGCACGATAATGTCAGTCCCAAGACCAGACCTCGCACCTTCGCAGAGAAGCAACCTTACATCTTTGCCTATGGTGCTGCTATCTCTGTCTTCTCCCCGGCAGCCACCGCTTACCAACTCTGCAAGTTGTACAACTTGCAACCCTCAATGGGTCGTTTAGCGCGATTGAGTGCTCCTATATTTCTCCCTCAAACTGCACTGAAGGCTGCACAAATGAATGCTTCCAGCCCGGTCAAGGAATACTTGAACCCATGGGCTGCGTTTGCAATGGTGGGTGTTCTCCAGGGTGGCGTTTATGGACATATCAATGTTCACTTCTCAAAGGCATTGGAGTTGGGCAAGGTTGCCAGTCTTCGTGGCGTCTTTCGAGGATCAGTATTTGCAGGAACGAGAGACACCATCAGTCAAGGAATGCCATTCATGTGCTCTGAATCGGTCCGACAGAACCTTTTTGACCCTTACTGGCACACCGAGGAGGGCACCACAGCCCACTCTGCCAAAGTGTGGTCTTCGGTGATTTCCACCTCTATCGTGGCAACCTACTTGAGCCAAGGGTTCCACAACTTTCAGATTGCCATGCAAGCAGATCAGTCTTTAAGCTACTCGCAAGCAATCAAGGCTGTGACCCGGCAGCATGGGATCAAATCGTTCTACAAGGGCGCTGAGGCACGAGTAGGATTGTTGCTACTTGTCAACATCTTGAATGAACTCCTACTCAAGCCTGCTTGGAGCCCTGTTCCAATCGGTCAGGACTAATTGGAATCATTCTTTCAAGTGCCAAGCAGCTTCACTTGGATATTGCTCATCTCTGTACCAGCCGAAAATACATACTCGTCGAAACAACCTAGCTACGAAAAGGTTGATTGCAACACTGTAACCTCAAAACAACATACTAAAATAACCGCGTTTATTTGTTCAAGAAACTATTGTATACCGGTACCAGGTACCTGCTAAAAAAGGAGAGAGTTTGTCAACCAACGTAAATATTCTGTTTGCTTTCATACTTGGATCGATTGAATTGCGATAAAGTAGGTAAGTTTGCTTTTGCCACTACCGGTACCGGTATGGGTATTGAGACCGGGATTGCTATCATTACCAATCATATCTAGCTTGTACACATCATATATATTTCTAAAGAATGCAGTATTGTTTGTACAGTTTCTTTCCTATTTATTCGAGGGCTTTCCATCCGGAGATTCTGATGAGGTCTGCCTCCGCACAGAGCTAGACTCTCCAGCAGCCGGTTCAGAGGCTGTTCCGGTAGGTATCCCGGCTTGTGCAACTCCTGGGTTTGAAAATGCCGTAGCAATGCCTTGAGCAGAGGCAGCGAGGAGCGTCGCAAAGAACGTCATCGTGGGGTCAACCCGCGGTTGTGCTGGTGGAGGTGCGCCCAGTTCTCTCCCTGCAGGAGCTTCCAGCGGTACTGGCGATGTCGACGACGGTTGCGCGTCTTGGGTTGGACGACGAGACATGGCCTGCAATTGATCGCGAAAAGCAGCAAGGATTGCCCCTGCAATGAGTTCAGCAAGTGGATTTGGAGTTGATGGAGGCTGGGGAAATGCGCTGGAAGGAGTTAGCGTCTGCATGAAAGCTGCCAAGGCAACGAGTGATTGTGGGTCCACTGATCCACTTGGAGCTGCATGGTTTGCAGCCAAACCTACGGCGGTGCTACCCGATGACGGATGTTGCGGTTGAGCAGTTGCTTCGCCCCAAGTATTCGATTGGTGCAGATGTCCCTGTCCCTGTGACTGCTGCAATTGCTGCGCTTGCTGATGGGCAAGACAAAGTGGCAGAGCTTGAGCCTGAATATTCGTGGTGTTTTGCTGCTGATGATGACCCTGAACTGAGTTTTGGGGATTCCCTGCACCTGCGGGGGTCGTCCCAGGACCTCCCGGGCTAGTCACAGACAATCCAGCCGGACTCAATAGTCCCCCGAGCACGGAAAGCATTTGTGGTGACATGTGTACCGGTATCTGGTTTGGAGGTTGCGATTGCTGTTGCCGACTCTGAGGGTTGGCTTGTTGCTGGAGGAGAGCCAGGATGGCCGGTGGTAGGACTTGAGGTGGTTTGTTTGAATCTTGGTTTGCTCCATTCGGTTGCAGCATCTGAGCGAGCTGCAGTTGTGCCACTACCTGATTGAGCGCTTGGTTTGGCACTGGTTGGGTTTGCTGTTGCACTGTCCCTTGAGCTTGAATTGACGTTTGCGAGTGCGGTGGCTGAACTTGACTGGCCGGGATTTGCTCCACTGCTCGTGAAAGCTGCGATACCTGCTGCGTTTGATAAGGGGCTTGCTGCAGCAATGATGTTGCGTGAGCTGAGCCCATGGAATTTTGCCCCGTTGATGAATTGGGAACAGGATTTGGTCTCGGCTGATTCAGATGACGTACCAAAGGTGTCTGCATCTGTTGACGGTTGGTTTGAACTTGAATTACGGGTAGTTGGGGTTGGGATACTGTAGCCGTGTTGCCCGCTTGGACAACAGAAGATAAAAAAGCCGGAAACGCACTACCTGGGGTAGCATTGCTGTTGCCCACCGTACCTGATGCCGCTGTAGCTGAATTGCCACTGGCTGCTTGTGGTCCTTGTTGCTGGTTGTTTGCAAAAGAAGGTGACAATAGAGGATTGAAGGGAGGCACCGGCATGCTTGGAGTCGCTGCCAGCCCATAGGAAGGAAAAGGGCCGGGCAGCTGTGTCCCTGGCAGTAAAGTAGGCGTCTGGACGCTGGGAGCTGGTGGTGCATAGCTTGCCACCGGAAGAGCCGCGCCGGGAGGCGCAGCAACGAGGGCAGCCATCGTTTGTTGGACCTGTTGAATCTGTTGAGGAGTCTGCTGGTGCCTTCCTTGAGGATTCTGCCTCACATACTCTTCTCGTTTCTTCAGCATTTCGATCGTGTCCTTGAGAGTCTTGTTCTCAATAGCCAGTCCTTGGTTCAAGTTGGTAAGTCGACTCTGACTCCCCTTTAGATCTGAAAGCTCTGTTCGTTCGCGCATTCGTTTCCGCTGCGCTGTGATGCGGTTGACCCTCCTTTTGCGATCCCTCTTATCCTGTTCGTACAGTGAAAGCTTTGGTTCTGGGTCCTTGGTCGGTTTGGAAGCACGTGAGGAGGATGGAAGAGAGGCACATGGAGGCGGTTTCTTCTTCGGCGCTCTTGCTTTATCATCTGAGGACTCTTCGTTACCTTTTGTGTCTTCTGAAGCTCTCTTTGCAGCTGGCTTCTTGGCATCTTCCTCGTCCGCTGCTCCCCCTCTTGCGGCATTGCGCATGGATTCATCAACTCTCGCATCGTTCTGATCGTTCTCATCTAGCTGGGCTGTACCACTTTCGGCCGCAGCAGCCGGCTGCCCCTGTCCATCATCTTTGCGCCCAGCTTTCCCTGGCTGCTTGCTACTCGACCTCTTGCGGCGAGGCATCCTTGCTCGTTGGGCTTGTGGTGAATTGTCTTCTCTTCAGTCAAAGCGGTTGGAGAATGTAAGGTTGTCCACGTCGTTCAGAGTACTGCGTCTTCAACTGTTGCACGACCATTGCACTGAAGAAACCACAAGCTGCGCGGATGCATTGCATCAATCCTTCGATTATCCAAGCTTGCTTGGTTCGACCTTGGCTCCACAGGCTAATGGGCAGTTGTGGTGCTGCTGACGGAGCTCGATCAACAACGCACCAGCTTGCGTCATTGAAACAGGAATGTGTTGTGATAGTCAACAGGCCTCTTTTTCGGAATACAAAAAGGCTGTTAAACAATACACTCACAGCAAAATATTGTTCTGTATTTTCCAGAAAGTCCATGCTAATTCATGGTTTTAGAGCTCGAGAACACAGCAATCTGCAAAAGTTGAAGTTGAAGCGACACACTTCACACTTCTACTTCAGGCATAAAGACATTCACTTTGACCACGGTACTGTAATTCAGAACCTTCAACATTCCTTTACAATAACAAAAGAACACATTTGCATGGTTTCAGGTGATGTCGCAGTTTAGGTTATTGCAGCTGGCTTGATGTCACATTGGAAGCCATGACAGCTGGAGTGAGTTTGCTGACTGGGCCAAGAACAACGATCCACGCCAGAAGCGATTTAAAAAGCATGAGAGTGATGGTTCGTGATACAGTACTTCTGCACGAATAACTACACCTTCTGAATCATAAATCTTCTTTTGCTTAGAAAGAGAAAACAGAATGCGACATCTCACACGACCAATTAGGCTTCCTTGCTTGCAATTGCTGGTGCGTACATTGTAGAGCACGTGCTGGAAGCCAGCCCCGTACCGGTACGCGTGAACTGCCAGCGACCAGTGACGATGAAGAGACAGTTCCCAACCTGACGCATGACCCTTCCTAGTACGCGAGAGCTGTTGAGCTGGTAAAAGACCTCCTCGGAGGATAGCCAGCAGGCAGATGCTAAAATCTAGTTCATCATGCAGTGAAATCGAATCTAAAATTAGAGTCTAGCTCTACCATGCTTGTTCAATCCTTTGGCATAATACTCCTCCACTGTCACTCCCATTTGGACACAAGTCTCTAGAAGCTTGCTAGGCACAAAATGCTCCGTGGTGGGGAACTGACGAGCAAACCTCTGCAGCGTCGCCAGCAGTTTAGGCAGTCCAACCTCATTGTCCGCCCAGAACATGGGTCCACCTCTCCAGACGGGCCATCCGTATCCATTCAAATAGATGATATCAATATCCGACGGACGCTGGGCAATGCCCTCTTCCAGACATTTGAAACCTTCATTGACCAAGGGGAACATGACCCGTTCGATGATTTCGGTATTAGTCAGCAATTGCGGCCGAGCGCCTGATGAAGACACGAAACTGGCAATGAATTGTTCGACCTCTTTGGAGGGAATGGGCTTGCGGCCTTTGCCCACTTTTGGGTTGTAGTCGTACCAGCCCTGTACAAAAAAAGCAAAATCGACAAACGAAAAATAAGAGATGGAGCGCAAGTTGCAGTTGTGATGAGTGCCGTGTTTTCCTGAGCAAGCAAGAGAAGTTCCGCTGCACTAATCTGAACTGACCTTGCCCGCTTTTTGTCCCACTCGTCCGAACTTGGACACCAAATCATCGGCGAGTTCCGTGTATCGGGGGGGACGTCCTGCTGGGATGGGATCCTGAGGGTTCTCTCGCACCCATCCCAGCTCTCGTCGAATGTAGTACTCAATGTCATTGCCAGCGAGATCACCCATCGTAAAGACACCCATGGCCATTCCAAATTGCGCCGTCAGCGCCTGGTCGACCACTTGTGGAGTGGGAGCTCCTCCTTCGGCCAGAATCATGCCGGCTTCTCGTCCGTAGGGTCGTAACAATCGATTGCCACAGAATCCATTGCAATTGCCCACCACGACGCCCAACTTTTTGATGCGTTTGGTCAATGCCTGCAACAACGCCACAGTGGCCGTCGACGTTTTTTCTCCACGGACAATTTCGACCAATTTCATGACATGAGCCGGACTGAAAAAGTGCCATCCAGCAAAGGATGTTTGGCGCTGTGGAGATAGAACCGATGCCATTTCATCAATATCCAAGGTGGATGTATTGCTGAGTAGAATACAAGACGGTGGAGTGACCTGGTCGAGTGTGGTAAAAATAGATTTTTTGACTTTCATTCGTTCCACCACGGCCTCGACGACCAACTGCACATGTGTCAAATCTTGCAACTTTTGCGTGGACGCAAGTCGCGAAAGCAATTGTTGAGCTGCTGGTTGTGTCATTTTTTTCTTGGCCACGTATCCGTGCACAATTTTATGAATATTCTTGACACCCTTTTCCAATGCTGGTTGTACCACATCGACGAGTGTCACATGACATCCCGCTTGGAGCAATACCATGGCAATACCACTGCCCATGGTACCGGCTCCCACGACGGCCACTTTGCTACTACCAGTACTGGACAAGAGCGGGTGTTGTTGTTGCAGTGGGGCCACTGGTTTTTGTGCCTTGCGAATGGCAAAAAAGGCATGTCGATACGCTTGCCCTTGCGTGGATTGTAGCGCCGCGGTAAATTGTTCGAATTCGATGCGGCGTCCAACATCCAACGGTTGGGTGGCCGATGCCAGGACGGCTTTAAGCGCACACCGGTGAACAAATCCACCGCGATTGGCCGGTGGCAATTGTTGTTGGGCAAATTGTGCAATCTGGTCGGCCATGGCGGCATCCGGGACGGTTTTGCGTCCGACACGTCGATCGTCGAGTGGCATGAGTTCCGCCCATTCGGCCCATTTCAAAGCTGTGGATAAGAGTTCTTCCTCCTGAGTAACCGTGGCATCGACCAGTCCCAATTGCAGTGCCTGTGGGCCTTTCATGGGTTTGGCCGTGAGAATTCGTTGCGTTGCTTCTTGCAATCCAATCAATCGAGGCAGTCGTTGTGTACCACCGGCGCCCTTATTTCAGCAATAATAATAATAATAAGATAACCATAAAAATCAGATGAGAAAGCAGTAAAATCAATGGGTATCTGCTCTTCATTTCGTATGGATTGTTCTTCTGCACGTACCGGAATCACTCCCACGGTCACTTCTGGCAATCCCATTCTGGCCTTGGTAGTACACACTCGATAATGACAGGCGAGTGCCACTTCCAGTCCTCCTCCCAAGGCATTTCCCGCAATGGCCGCTACGACGGGTTTGGGAAAGTTTTCGATGCATTCCACAATGTCAATCAGACTGACAACATTGCTAGTGTCGGTAGCAGCCGAGGAAATGCCACCAAATTCGCTAATATCGGCACCCGCAGAAAAATTCTTGGTTCCTCCCGTGACAATGACACTGGTGACGTGAGGAGAATGGCGTGCCGTTTCCAGTTGCTGCCACAGATAGTCTCGCACCGGTTGGCTCAATGGATTCAATGCATTCTTGGCCGCTTGCGAAAAGTCGATTACAAACACCACCATGGTTTTTTCTTCCTAATTGGAGGGGTAGATACCTTTGCGGAAAGGCAGTAGTAGCAAGGATGGCAGGAACGTTGTGTGCTGGGCTTTCGTCCGTACCAGGTAGCAATGATGAGGTGATGATCTCTGTTGCCGTCGATACCAGCGTCACTCTTTTCTCCACAGAAGAAAGAAGAAATGGGAGGATTGCGTTGGAGTGCCAAGCAAGATCCCGCAAAGCCAAACCCTTTGCCCCGGTAATGGTCCTCCATTTCTTGCCCCTGATCCCACAGAACCTAGTCCTGAATTTCGCCTGTTCTTTGCTTAAGCCTGGCCCCGGCTGGCTTCCGTAGCTAATTTCCCTACAGGCTGAATCCAAACTATCGAGACAAACGCAAGCCCGCTCCCGGTACGACATTCGAATGCGAACCGGAACGTCCTGGAACGTTCCTCGAAAAGACTTAGAGGACGTAATAACTCGGCGTACTCGGATCGCTGGTACGGTCCTCTTTCATTATTTCGATACCTCTATCTTTACTCTCTATTGACTCTATCAAGATGATGCTATCTCCTCTGCAGCGGCTCCTCTTAACAAAGGCTACTACTCACCCCCATGACGGGCTCCTCTTGTTTGGTTGGTTGCGGCAGCGGTTGCGGCAGCCGTTCGATCGTTCGACGGATCGATTCGGTTGACGACGGATCGAAGACTTCTTTCTTCTTCCACGAGCGACACGGAGCCATGACGCCTCCTCTTCCATGGAGCGACGGCTGCAACAGGCGGCTACTACTAGTACGACTTGCGACGGGCGGCTACTACTGGTACGACTTGCGGCGGCTTGCTACGGACGCCTTGAATTGACGAGCAGTCAATCCGGTGAAATGACTTCTTTCGGTTGACGGAGGAGGTGACTGCTTCTACGACTACTTCTTCCTTGTTAGCAGAGCCTTTGACAGTACTACTACTACTGCAACAAGTGGCAGCTTCTCTACTAATGTGCTGAGTGGTCGATTGACAACACAAGACTGAATATGCATTTTTTGGTGCCATCAAGCCAACAATTCTCCTTTGAAACTTTGAATTGAGTGCTCAAGTCTTCATGCAAAGCCACCCAGTCCTCTACTAGGCTCTACAGTGTAGATTGAGTGCTGAGAGAGAGGACAGGAGCACATTTCCCATGGAGAAATCCATGGCAGGATGACAACAAAATGGAATCCAAGCCTGATTTTTCATAGAAGCTCCATAGGAAAGTTTGGAGATGGCCTATCCTGCTCAAGGAGAGTGCCTGTGAGTGTGTTGGGGAGCTAGTCCTCTGACCGGATAGGCCAGAACAATGTATTGGTAGAGCTAATGGCCATTTGGTCAACACTGTTGCCATGGTGATAAAATTCATTTTTATTTCTTCAATCTTCTCTTTGTGGGAACTAGTTATATTCAGTCTTGTTTCGCGAAATGACCACTTTGACTATGCAATGACCGTTTCTGTATTTTTTGCCAAAACGGGAACCCCCATTTTGACACCTGTCAACGGTGAATGAATTCAGCCTGTACTCTAAAACCCCCTTATAAAGATCTTCGAGGTACATGTACGTGGCGTTAGTCACGAGTTGAGTCCAATTGAGTCACAAAACAAATCACGAGTGACAGAAAAAAGAAAAAGCAACGGCTATCTTTTTTGAGCCGTCTCCCACCACAGTCCAAGGAGCCTCTCATGTCATGCGGCAACGATTTCCATCATCTTGCCTCCCTGACATTTCCGTGTGGTTGCCTTCCCTTTAAAGATGACAGGATCCGACGCAACGAGCCCAAAAAGACGTCGGATGTCTTTACTATTACTATTTTTCGTGACAATGATGGGCTCTTCTGTGCTCGTGGGCACGGTTTCCCTTCTGCTCCTTTTTCACTATCACCCCGTCACATCGTCTGGCGATAGATCCGTCATGGTTCAGATTCTTCATCTTTCGTCATCACTTCCCGATGACGACAGGGAAAACAAACTGGGGTCTAGTACTACAATGGATCATCGTCACCAAATACATGTAGATCTGGATCCTGCGTTCCTACGTCATGGTGGTCCTGGTCCAGCTGTACCGGTGCAACCACAACATGGCGCGAGTGATCCCAAACAGGACGACAACAATTGGAATGTCCCACATGTCCCAGATTCCATGTTTCAAAAGCCAGATACAGACCGATGCTCTCAATTTCTGGGAAATTCCATGGGCAATTCCGAAGCTCGCTTCTTTTCCCTGTGCTCCGACGACATGATGATGGGTACGCTCTGGTGTGAATGGAATCCTGTGCTGGAATCCAGCTTTTGTCAAGCCAACAACCTCATGGTGGATCCATCCAAGATTACAGTTTCCAAGGGAGGAGAATCCATTCAACAAGTCATGGGACGAGCCGAAGCAGAGGAATTGCCAAGTTACCAGTCGGGCGCCTTGCACTTGTCACAGTGTGTTCCAAATCAAAATCACATCAACCCCAAAGATCTGCCCTTTCATCTCTTTGATATGTTTCAAAGCCTAGATGAAGGAACCAACCGCCATGTGGAATGCACAGCCTACGAAGAACGCCCCACTCTGATCATTACACGATACGAATATGCCAATCTGTACCATACCTACTCGGATTGGTACAGTGCCTATCAAGCTGCCATGATTGCACTACACGGCAACAGATCAGCAGTGGAAAATGTACACATTGTCTTTTTTGATGGGCATGCCCAAGCCAAAACAGACATGGGATGGAAGTTGCTCTTTTCCAATGCCACTGTCTGCTATATATCAGAATACAAAAACGACAAGAAAGAACCTGCATGCTTTCGGAATGCCATCTTTGTACCCGCAGGGTACACTGCACCCACCTCTGTGACTTCTATTGAACGTCTGGGAATGGGGGAACCAGCCTACAAGTACATAGACGCATCATGCCAGAAAAACAAGTGGCAACAGAGATTCCGAGAAATGATGGTTGGCAATTCCAAACGGTATTTAATAGCCAACAAGGCAACGACAAGGCTCAATCTCCTCCTCCAAGACGGCAACAACAGCCATCAAGATCCCAATTCCCCAAAAAAGATGGAAGGAAGGAAACAACGCGACAACCAGCCCACTCTACGAGTCATGTTGCTATCACGCACCAATTATCAATCCCATCCCCGTATGGATGGCAAAGTATCTCGTATTATTCAAAATGAAGAAGAAGTCTTGCACTTTTTGGAAGACTACAAAGGTCCCGATGAGCCCATGGGCATTTTGTCAAAGGAAAATTTTCCAACTGTGACTGTCAATCGGGTGGTTTTGGAAGAGCATGATGTAGCAGAGCAAATTGTCATGTTCCAGCAGGCGGATGTTGTGGTTGGCATGCATGGTGCAGGGCTTTCACACATCTTTCTTGCTCGTCCGGGTACAGTGCTACTTGAGATCAAGCCGAATGGATATAGTGATAGTATGCGCCATTTTCAATACCTGGCACAGATGGCTGGATGCATTCATCGACCTCGTGACTTGCGTACTGATGATGACCCCTATCCCGTACCCATTTCGGATTTTGAACAATCCTTCAAAGAGAGTGTGGCACTGTTCTTGGGACACCAAAACAATCTAGCAGCCAGTCAGCAGTAATGATGGTTTGCATGGCCCAGTGCTGAATACAAGAACGTTGGGTTTTTGAGGGTCGTCAACATCAATCCACTGCAGCCATAGCAAGTTACATACATGCTATGTCCACATGTAAAGCGTACCATGACAAGAACGATGAACCTCCAAGTCACCGCAACATTCATTGTGCTGGTATGTATACCGGTAGTGCCTGGTAACAACAGTGGAGACTTTTCTAGCAGCCATTGAGTGATGTCACAGCAGGCGGACACTGCCGAATGCAATAATGGCTTGTATTAGTGATGAAGCTAGTGATGAAGCTAGCACGACTCCTCATTCCTGTTATGCTGCCTGACACGGAGCAAAAAATACATGCCAAAGGAGGGAAGGAAAACGATGCGCCTGCGCACTCCTAGTTCTTAAAATAGATACTCCAATTGAGTGCTGTAGCCACAGCCACCCAACCGCATGTTGGCAACATGAATTTACCAGCCTCTGGATCCAGATCGTAGAATAGTTTGGTACTCGTCAAAAGAGCCCCAAAGAATGCTGTAATCACTGCTGTTCCTCGCCCGATGCATTGAAAGCCAAAAAACACCTTGTTCCAGGCGTCGCCCAGTGCCAAGTGAGCACAGTACACTCCTAGGGCCTTCCAACGGAATTTGGGCTTCTCCTTGTCATCATTCTTCAACACCTTGTTCAACGCAATGGCCTGGGTAGGCTTGCTAACCAACAGCCACATGATGGGGAAGAGCCATCCAGGAGGATTCCACACTGGTTTAACCAAGTTAGAATACCAATTTGGGTCTCCCGGAACCACATTGGGATCCATAAATTGCTGCGTGGCGGCACTCATGCCTCCATCCACCAAACTTCCAAAAATGCTCGAGGCAAACACAACCACTCCAATGGAGAGCCATTGAGGCAAGAGTTTGATGGAAAGCCATTGGGGAAGTTTGGGCTTTTCGATTTCGGCTGATACTTTATCAGAGACTTCCTTGCCAACTCTCAACACGCCCAACAAAGAGATAGCTTGAAGTACGGCACTGACTCCAACCTTTAGAAACAACGTCATAGACGTATCACTACAGCCACCACCTCGAAGGGCATGACCAGTGGAGACTTGGAACGCCGAAGAAGACCTCACATCAGGGAAAGCCACCGGTCTGGTTCGAAAGTTGCTGTACAAGGGTAGCTTGACTGTGTTTGCAAGGCCATCAGGACGAGGAGCCCAAAGTGCAGCCGTTGTTGGTAACAAAAAGGCGAGGTAAACAGAAAGGAAGCAACCAGAGACCTTCATGGTGCTTGGAGCCCAAAAGGAAGAAGCAGATCGTTAGTGTGAGCCTTCTATGGCCGATCTTTCCGCCTCTTTGATGCAATGAACGACGCTACATTGCCAAATGTGTCCTCGCTGTTGCTGGCCCCGCTGCGGCTGCAGCAGCTGGCACTTCTCAGCTTTCCGTTGGTTTGAAAGCAGGCATTGAAGGTGCCGTCCACACGGCCAATCATGTCTGGGATCATCACCTTGGCTCATCTGACCGTCTCGACTCTGATTTCGGCTTCCTTATTATAGATGCCTCTAATGCCTTCAACGAATTGAATCGAACTGCCATGCTTTATACAGTTCGCCATCTTTGGCCCGAAGGCGCCCGCTTTACCTTCAACAGTTACAAACATTGGTCCCTTGTTATTTTTTAACGACTCCACCGCTGGAACAGCTCACATTATCCTCAGCAGCTGTTGGAGTCGTGCAAGGGTGATCCTTTAGCCATGTACTGCTACGGTTAGCCTTAGTTACCTCTCATTAAACGGCTTCACCATGAGTTCCCTCACTTCTGCATCTCTGGTATGCCGATGACGCCAATGCTGCCGGCAAATTTACTGATTTACAATTCTTCTAGACCGTCTTATTCGGATAGGCAAACCATTCGGCTATTTGTTCAGCGCAATAAATGCAAAATTATTACTCACAGTGCCAATTTTCACACAGCCAACACTCAGTTTACGCGTACCCGCGCTCTCAACTCAAAGTCAACACCGACAGGTGCCTTGAGATTTCTCGGTGGGTCACATATCGGCGAACCTGAAACCCTTTCCTCCTGGGTCTATTCCAAAATCAAAACTTGGACGGCCTGCATCTTCAATCCTCTTGTGATAAGTGGCTCAGGTTCACCCCATCCAGTCGGCTAATATTGCCTGCCAAAAGTCTCTCAAAATGGAATGGCAATTTGTGCAGCGTGTCTGTCGTGTCCCCTCGGACTTTTGGCTTCCCTTGGAAAATGCTGTGTGGACTTTGAAGCTTCTCCCCTGCTC